CCTGAGAGCAAGAGCTTTCTAGTGCACCAGTCAAAATTATGATCCGAGCATAATTTATACTAAAAATATAGCCATTTCCGGTTCTGACCTTATTTTCGGTTCTGAGGTCGTTAAAATAAATTTTTGGTATTTAAGGTAGAATTTTAGAGGACCGGAACGCACAGAGTAACCCTGAATCGGCAAAAGCCGAAAATTGCCATTTCTAACCTCGAAATATGCAAAAAATCGTAATTATGTTTGGATCGTGGTTTTGATGATGTCATTCGAAAGATGGGGACGAGACGGGTTCCAAACACTGGCTGTTGACTTTATTTGGTTGATATATCGAGAGATATTCGTGAAAAACGGCAAAACATATAAATATGCATAACTTCTATGCCAATGATGCTAGGAGGTTGATCAAGGGCTCATATGAAAGATCTGGACCTAAGTAAGAAATTCGGCTCCCCCTATAGGATAACCCCGTCAAAAAGCCGTATCTCGCTAGTTTTCGAGTTATGAGCGTTTAAACGTTTTTTTATGTTTTATTGAGCATAGCTTCGTTTTTCGCCGATAACTCACGATCTATACGAGGTACATGGACCACGAGCATATCGATAGATTCCTGAGAGCAAGAGCTTTCTAGTGCACCAGTCAAAATTATGATCCGAGCATAATTTATACTAAAATTGTAGCCATTTCCGGTTCTGACCTTATTTTCGGTTCTGAGGTCGTAAAATAAATTTTTGGTATTTAAGGTGGAATTTTAGCGGACCGGAACGCTCAGAGTAACCCTGAATCGGCAAAAGCCGAAAATTGCCATTTCTAACCTCGAAATATGCAAAAAATCGTATTTATGTTTGGATCGTGGTTTTGATGATGTCATTCGAAAGATGGGGACGAGACGGGTTCCAAACACTGGCTGTTGACTTTATTTGGTTAGATAAATCGAGAGATATTCGTGAAAAACGGCAAAACATATAAATATGCATAACTTCTATGTGAATGATGCTACGGGGTTGATCAAGGGCTCATATGAAAGATCTGGACCTAAGTAAGAAATTCGGCTCCCCCTATAGGATAACCCCGTCAAAAATGCCGTATCTCGCTTAGTTTTCGAGTTATGAGCGTTTAAAACGTTTTTTTATGTTTTATTGGAGCATAGCTTCGTTTTTCGCCGATAACTCACGATCTATACGAGGTACATGGACCACAAGCATATAAATAGATTCCTGAGAGCAAGAGCTTTCTAGTGCACCAGTCAAAATTATGATCCGAGCATAATTTATACTAAAATTGTAGCCATTTCCGGTTCTGACTTATTTTCGGTTCTGAGGTCGTTAAAATAAATTTTTGGTATTTAAGGTAGAATTTTAGAGGACCGGAACGTCAGAGTAACCCTGAATCGGCAAAAGCCGAAAATTGCCATTTCTAACCTCGAAATATGCAAAAAATCGTAATTATGTTTGGATCGTGGTTTTGATGATGTCATTCGAAAGATGGGGACGAGACGGGTTCCAAACACTGGCTGTTGACTTATTTGGTTGGATAAATCGAGAGATATTCGTGAAAAACGGCAAAACATATAAATATGCATAACTTCTATGCCAATATGCTACGGGGTTGATCAAGGGCTCATATGAAAGATCTGGACCTAAGTAAGAAATTCGGCTCCCCCTATAGGATAACCCCGTCAAAAATGCCGTATCTCGCTTAGTTTTCGAGTTATGAGCGTTTAAACGTTTTTTTATGTTTCATTGGAGCATAGCTTCGTTTTTCGCCGATAACTCACGATCTATACGAGGTACATGGACCACGAGCATATCGATAGATTCCTGAGAGCAAGAGCTTTCTAGTGCACCAGTCAAAATTATGATCCGAGCATAATTTATACTAAAATTGTAGCCATTTCCGGTTCTGACCTTATTTTCGGTTCTGAGGTCATTAAAATAAATTTTTGGTATTTAAGGTAGAATTTTAGCGGACCGGAACGCACAGAGTAACCCTGAATCGGCAAAAGCCGAAAATTGCCATTTCTAACCTCGAAATATGCAAAAAATCGTAATTATGTTTGGATCGTGGTTTTGATGATGTCATTCGAAAGATGGGGACGAGACGGGTTCCAAACACTGGCTGTTGACTTTATTTGGTTAGAAAAATCGAGAGATATTCGTGAAAAACGGCAAAACATATAAATATGCATAACTTCTATGCCAATAATGCTATGGGGTTGATCAAGGGCTCATATGAAAGATCTGGACCTAAGTAAGAAATTCGGCTCCCCCTATAGGATAACCCCGTCAAAAATGCCGTATCTCGCTTAGTTTTCGAGTTATGAGCGTTTAAACGTTTTTTTATGTTTTATTGGAGCATAGCTTCGTTTTTCGCCGATAACTGACGATCTATACGAGGTACATGGACCACGAGCATATCGATAGATTCCTGAGAGCAAGAGCTTTCTAGTGCACCAGTCAAAATTATGATCCGAGCATAATTTATACTAAAAATGTAGCCATTTCCGGTTCTGACCTTATTTTCGGTTCTGAGGTCATTAAAATAAATTTTTGGTATTTAAGGTGGAATTTTAGAGGTCCGGAACGCAGAGTAACCCTGAATCGGCAAAAAGCCGAAAATTGCCATTTCTAACCTCGAAATATGCAAAAAATCGTAATTATGTTTGGATCGTGGTTTTGATGATGTCATCGAAAGATGGGGACGAGACGGGTTCCAAACACTGGCTGTTGACTTATTTGGTTGGATAAATCGAGAGATATTCGTGAAAAACGGCAAAACATATAAATATGCATAACTTCTATGCCAATGATGCTACGGGGTTGATCAAGGGCTCATATGAAAGATCTGGACCGTAAGTAAGAAATTCGGCTCCCCCTATAGGATAACCCCGTCAAAAATGCCGTATCTCGCTTAGTTTTCGAGTTATGAGCGTTTAAACGTTTTTTTATGTTTTATTGGAGCATAGCTTCGTTTTTCGCCGATAACTCACGATCTATACGAGGTACATGGACCACGAGCATATAAATAGATTCCTGAGAGCAAGATCTTTCTAATGCACCAGTCAAAATTATGATCCGAGCATAATTTATACTAAAATTGTAGCCATTTCCGGTTCTGACCTTATTTTCGGTTCTGAGGTCGTTAAAATAAATTTTTGGTATTTAAGGTGGAATTTTAGCGGACCGGAACGCACAGAGTAACCCTGAATCGGCAAAAGCCGAAAATTGCCATTTCTAACCTCGAAATATGCAAAAAATCGTAATTATGTTTGGATCGTGGTTTTGATGATGTCATTCGAAAGATGGGGACGAGACGGGTTCCAAACACTGGCTGTTGACTTTATTTGGTTAGAAAATCGAGAGATATTCGTGAAAAACGGCAAAACATATAAATATGCATAACTTCTATGCCAATAATGCTACGGGGTTGATCAAGGGCTCATATGAAAGATCTGGACCTAAGTAAGAAATTCGGCTCCCCCTATAGGATAACCCCGTCAAAAATGCCGTATCTCGCTTAGTTTTCGAGTTATGAGCGTTTAAAACGTTTTTTTATGTTTTATTGGAGCATAGCTTCGTTTTTCGCCGATAACTCACGATCTATACGAGGTACATGGACCACGAGCATATCGATAGATTCCTGAGAGCAAGAGCTTTCTAGTGCACCAGTCAAAATTATGATCCGAGCATAATTTATACTAAAATTGTAGCCATTTCCGGTTCTGACCTTATTTTCGGTTCTGAGGTCGTTAAAATAAATTTTTGGTATTTAAGGTGGAATTTTAGCGGACCGGAACGCTCAGAGTAACCCTGAATCGGCAAAAGCCGAAAATTGCCATTTCTAACCTCGAAATATGCAAAAAATCGTAATTATGTTTGGATCGTGGTTTTGATGATGTCATTCGAAAGATGGGGACGAGACGGGTTCCAAACACTGGCTGTTGACTCTATTTGGTTGGATAAATCGAGAGATATTCGTGAAAAACGGCAAAACATATAAATATGCATAACTTCTATGCCAATAATGCTATGGGGTTGATCAAGGGCTCATATGAAAGATCTGGCCGTAAGTAAGAAATTCGGCTCCCCCTATAGGATAACCCCGTCAAAAATGCCGTATCTCGCTTAGTTTTCGAGTTATGAGCGTTTAAACGTTTTTTTATGTTTTATTAGAGCATAGCTTCGTTTTTTGCCGATAACTCAAGATCTATACGAGGTACATGGACCACAAGCATATCAATAGATTCCTGAGAGCAAGAGCTTTCTAGTGCACCAGTCAAAATTATGATCCGAGCATAATTTATACTAAAATTGTAGCCATTTCCGGTTCTGACCTTATTTTCGGTTCTGAGGTCATTAAAATAAATTTTCGGTATTTAAGGTGGAATTTTAGAGGTTCGGTACGCAGAGTGGTTTTCTATCCTTTATCGCAGCAAAGCTTTTTTTTCTGCAAATTACTGGTGGCAAGAGAAGTGATTATGGCTATTGTTAGATGCCCGGTTGTTGTGCCATCTTGTTGCCATTTTCATGAATGCTGACTGCATTTCTCAGCTCTTATATGGACTGAACTTCTATACTCGTCTTTCTTCTCTGCCTACCGTTGCTTCTTCATTTCGTTCATCCCTGAAAATTACAATTTTTTGTACGATTCCTCTTTTACCTACTTAATTTCAGTTTACATGGAGCTTTGATCTTCCATTGCCCAACGCGAAAGCGTAAATTCAACTCCGGGAAACTTTTTGACTTGAGCGCAGGCTTATTTCTGGTTCATCGTTCTCAATTGTCGTTGATCAACGTTCCGCACTTCCTTTCATTAGTGCAAATACTGGTCGTACAGTATGACAGCGCTAGCATCGAAAAAAGTGGTATAGTTGAACTGGCCAAAAAGGTATCATTTTACTGAACAAAAATGTGTCGATAAAACAGATTGCCTTTACTTGTCTTCAAAGAAATAATAACGCATAACTTTCAACTAATGTAGACGGCGCCACCTAAAGTAGTTTATTGTCATATGTTTTCATATATGCGTGCATATCGCATAGTAAGCGAATTCTGTCAAATTCTTTTATTACTCATTAAAAATAAATTATCCATCTGAATTTTAATATTTTATGTAAGTTCATGCATACAATTTAATAATTGACATTAATCTCTTAATTGTTGGATAATGAATTTCAATCGATTGAAGAGTTCTCAAATTTCATGTGAAGAATGTAATAAGTACACAACCTCTGACGTGTTCTTATTATTCTGAATAATATTAGTTAACTGCTTTTTTTCTGAAATAAATAAAAGATGAATGTGTTTAATAATTATAATCAACAATTGATGCTTAATGTTATATAAAATTGGAATGATTATCATTAATTGATTCCTATTCTTTCCCAGGTCGCAATAATAATTAGAATGGCAAAAAAAACAAACAGTGCCACAGCCAGATTAAAACAAGATTATTTACGTTTAAAAAAAGACCCTGTACCATACGTACTCGCTGAACCCGTACCTTCTAATATTCTTGAATGGTAATTTGTGCTAAAAATGAATTGCTAATTTTTTTTATTCCACGTAATTTGATTCTTTAATACTGTACTTTAGGCACTACGTAGTGAAAGGTCCTGAAAATACACCATATGAGGGAGGATTTTATCATGGCAAGTTAATATTCCCTGGAGAATTTCCATTTCAACCACCAAGTATCTATATGACCACACCAAATGGAAGATTTAAAGTGAATACTCGTTTATGCTTATCCATCTCTGACTTTCACCCAGATACATGGAATCCAGCATGGAGTGTATCAACTATATTAACAGGCCTTTTAAGTTTTATGGTGAATAATGCTTATTAAAATATTTAAAAAGTACACATGTTATTTTTACTTGAGTAAGAATAAACTAACATAACTTTGTTTTTTAATACATTTAGATTGAAGGAAGCCCTACTCTTGGTAGCATAAACACAACTGATTGGGATAAAAGACAATGGGCACATCAAAGTTTAGAATTCAATTTAAAAGATAAAATGTTTTGTGAATTATTTCCTGATACTGTCGCGGTAATTTTTCTTTTTCTATCTATTTATCAGCTGTCTTACATAATATTTTCTATTAATCTTTTTGTTTTTATATTTTTTTTTAGGAAATTCATGCAGAATTGGAGCATCGAAAAAAGCAAGAAATGTTAAGAAGACATCAATCTACAACCTCAGAAGTTTCATCACTCATCCGTAATCAATTAAACCGAGAACAGAGTCCAATTCACAGTGCATTAACTAATGTAGCAATAATAATTGGATTTGCTGCATTTGCATATATTGTTAAATATGTACTACGAAGTATTGCAACGGAATAAGAATGAATGATTATTGTAGTGAACTTTCCAAATATTCCGAATTCAATATAATATATAACATACTTAAGTTTTTTTGTGATAGTTTTACATACATTATGTGAATGATTCAAATACTGTGAAGTAATTGAAATTAATTTATAAGAAATCGATCGAATTATTCTCTACTGTTTAAATATTTTATTGTATCATATAATTCTCGGTTACGATTTCATATTTTTTAATGAATTTAAATGTTTTTTTTTTAGAAACATTTATTTATTATAATTCAATAAACAGAATACTTGTGGGCCTCCATGATAATCCGTTTATCCGTTGATAATGAAAAGAAAGAATAAATTTTTGATTCTGTTAATTAAATTTATACACAAAGTTTGTAAAGCGTATGCAAGATGATCAATTTGTAAATATATATTAGTTAAAAAAACAAAAAGAAATTTTAATGTTTGCAATTTTTAATGAACGTATGATCATGTGATCTTGGATAAACATACCAGTAGATGAACAGCTAAGACTCACAGAATAAAAAAGGAATATTTTTTAAATTAATCAGGTCTTAATTTAGAGATTGAAAAATATTATAATAAGTTTAAATCTTGATTCTTTAATCATTCATACTTGTTCTGAGTGTTGTCCATGTATTGGTTTGTTTATCCTATCATAGTACAGCATCTGTTTATGATGAATAATTTTTTCTTTCATTGCAATTTGTTTAGCTATCTAAAATTTAATATATTATCTTCCATTATAATTCAGGTCGTTTGAATTATTGTCTGCCAAAGAATAGTATCAGTTAATGAAAAAAAAAATATCAAAAATAATAGGAATGCAAATATGAATTATTTTTTTTAATTTCTTTCTTATTTTAAATAAATATATACTATGTGATATAAAGAAAATTTTTGTGAGTCTTCGCACTTAAATTTGCGATTATAAATCATGTATAGTTGGTTAATTCATTTAACATAATGTAATTTTTAATGTAAATATCTAGATATTGACTACTCTTACATGAGTCTATAAAACAAATTTATCTAGAAAATAAATATCAAAAAAATCATTCATACAAAAAACATTTATTTCCCAATATTTTTCCTTTTAATCTTATACAATTGATGTTACGTTCATAAGTTGGCTTGTAAAGCGCTACTGAATAATGTAAACTATTTTTAAATCTGCAAATACGACACCCTGATGTTTATTCGTGTCTACGGGGGCATATAAACTGTTTGAATATTCTTTGAATGTTCCGTTGTTTATGCGCACTCGTAAGGAAGGACGTCCATCCTGTGTATCGTCTAATAGCCTTATCACCTTTCTTTTTTTGCTAATTATCAAGTATGATTTTGTAGTAGAATATAACCATTATTAAAATTATCCTAAAAAAAAATAAAAATAATTAACCTATATAAATAATCAAGGTTATGATTTAGTTATTTATTACACAATTATCAACCAATGTTATTCATCCAAGTATTTTGTACTGGTCATGTTGCTACATTAAATCATTCCTTTGAAATATCGTTAAAATCGTTAACTTAAATTGTATCTATGTTTAGTTTCAGTTGGTTTTCTAAGATTTTAAGTAATATACAAGCAAGCAGAGTAGCAACATAGTAATAGTCTTGCTATAGGTACTATGTTGAGAAACATTTTACGATCAAAGTCAGAGGTGCTAACGAAAGAGAAATAAAGTTGGTAAGTACATTTTATATATATACCATGTGATCACTAAGTAAATTGCATACAATGTTCACGATTTATTGAATTATTTTCAACGCAAAGCTACTGAGGAAGTCGATTCATTTGTAATAAATCAATAAATTGTCATTTTTAGGTAAACATTTGGACATTTAACTATTTAAATACTTGTGTAAATTCTATTTAATTATACAATTATGACATTTATGTATAATAAAAATGAATTATGTGGAGAATAAAAGAAGTAACATTTGTACACTATTTATATTGATGGAGCTTTTTGACATCAACAAATAAGTACGTGTCGAAAAATGAGTTATGAATAAAATGCATTTATCTAAACAAAAAGAAAGATCATCTATTGGTTAAAAAGTAATGCAGTTGATTACAAGTTAAGCCAATTAGATGATACAACCAACTAGGCGGAGATTTGGATCTGTTGATTGTGTAAGTATTGAATTATTATTTTATTGATAAGACGTACAAGTTTATCTATGGATACCTCATTTTAAATTTACACAATCTTATGGGATAACTATAATATAGATATATTTATATCTCACAAAATGGTATAATAGATAGGATTTCGAATAATAATAAGACAAGAAATAGGTTTATTAATAAAACTTGTTTATTAAAATGTCAAGTGAGAATATAAAAATACTGTATATTATACCATACAATAAGTATAATTATAATTTGAATTTATCAGGAATATTTCCAACTTTTTTTTAGGAATGAATATTTTTTAAAAATAATTACATACCTTAATATTAATAATTACTTATAATTTAAATAATAAACAATGAGTTGAATTGATATATACAATCTGTGATATTATTTACAATATTTGATTTTTAAAAGAAAAAACTGTTTTCTTGCAAAAATTATTTTGAGTTCAATTATTTTTTGTCTCAATAAATTATTGCATCAACCGGCCGCACATACCAATTTTTCAAAAAATTAATTTAGCTTATAAATCTTATTTTTAATCATGTGAATATAATTCATAATTATTTACTTAAGTCAATTTTATTGACACAACTATTCATTAATAACTTATTCTACAATTTAGAACATGTCGATTAAATCATTTGCATACAAAATATATAGACTCTTTGGTTAATAACTGTATGATCGCAGCAGTATATGAATTATACTCATTTTTGCCTTCTTATACAAAGATAGTATGAGAATTTTCTCGAAATATCTAAGAAAACGAGTCAATTGTTATAATTACATAAATACAATTACCAACTATATAAAGAGAAAGAGACAGAGATGTATTTATTTAAGAATAAAACACAAATAAAGTAATAAATTTATTTGACATATAAAATAATAGAATTCAATATTTTTAGCGGAAGTATAATAATTCCTTCAATAATTGCATATTAATCAAATCTAATTTAATTAATGATAATTTAAATATTTTAAAATGTAAATAAACTAATAAATTATAGTAACAAAGAAACATTAAAGTTTGATATTATTCTATTATATAGATGCCAATAAATTTTTTTTCATTAATATATTTTTGAATATACTAATGTTTTCAATCAAGTATCTTTTCAGTTCTTAAAATAAATAAATTCTAAATGCTACAAAATGCCATTATTCATAAAGAAAATAAATGAAATAAATTCACGTAAATTTCCGAGGCGTAAAAATTGAACTTATTTTGATCTTATAAACTGGTAAACCTGCAGAATTCCACTTTCAGGGCTTAAGGTTCAACTTAGGTTGTTCATTTTTAGGAACTAGTTTTGAAACTACTTTGGCCCTAACAAACCTGAATCCAAACTACTTACATTCTATTATCCTGAAAATGAATCATCTAAGTTGAACCTTAAGCCCTGAAAGTGGAATTCTGCAGGTTTACCAGTTTAAAGTTAGCACAATTTTTATTACATAAAATGAACCTGCAGGTTCATGATTTCAAACTGAAATTAAATGTTAAAGCAGGATGAATAAGATCAAAATAAGTTCAATTTTTACGCCTCGGGTTAATAGCAGTATTACTATTTCCGATAATTTTGTTATTTTGTCAATATATTTAATTTATAGTATTTGTTGAAATATACATATTTTAATTGATTTCAAAAACCAAATTAATTATGCAGTGCATTATATGTCTTTCTTAATTTTTCATTTTTTTTTTTTAGAAATCTAATTTGAAAATAAAATAAAAATATCACAGAATAATGGACAGATATAAATAATATTACTTTATCATACTGTAAGTTAAATACAGCCAATTTAACAAAGAATTCGGAATTATTGTTTTTCTAATGTTTAAGGAATAATAATGAGAACTACTATGTAATTCATCATTATCACAATTTTTTTTTTCTTCTTTCAAAAGAGCTTCCTGTAATTGTAATTGTTTTTTTTATTATTATTAGATTTTGATTTGATTATTCTTTTCAATACTATTTACAGTAGCGATAAATTTCGGAACTTTCGATCCAGCGAAAGTAGGAAATTTAAATTGCCATCAAATTTGATGATAATTTAATTGTTATTCCAGTCACCTTCCATCCTCCAGACACTGAAGGCATAAGATAGCCTTTCATGTGCCATATAACTACATGATGATGATGCTGCTGCTGATATTTCTCGAGTGGCTATAATTGCACTCCTAGGACTAGTGTGACCTGAAATAAACATAACAAACATTGTTATCATAAGAATTGTTGTAAGTTTATTAACACAAGAATAAACTATAAAAATAACTCTTCAACGTCAACCGTAAAAGTCTTCTTTACAACTAAACTTGACTTCTCTATATCGTTAGTCACGTGGAGTTACGACGACGTTTGGCAAGCATTTGGCGCCTGCTTTGCTTGCATTTACACGCGTCAACCAATGGCTGACTCATACCATGCCGTATAATAGTGTAACATGATTTAATAACGACCAAAGTCTTCCTATAATATTTCTAAAGTAAATATTTTCCAAATTCTTGGATATTTTTTTAGTATTCTTTGTTTTAAACTTTGTTTTTTTTATAGTTATTTTATATGAATAAAAATTAATGACTTTACCATTACTGTCTTCAACGCTGCCACCATTCAAATCAGCATTTTCTATACTACATTGTAGCACTTGATAAAGGAAATCAATGTACTTTGTAGCAAGTTTTAATGTTTGAATTTTACTGAGTTTATCACTTGGTAATGTTGGAATGATTTTTCTGAGAGCGGCAAAGGCTTCATTTAAACTTTGTGTCCTTTGTCTTTCTCTGACATTAGCCATTACCCTTTGATTTTGTATCTCTTCGTAAGTAGCACCACCTTTTCGTCGAATTTTTTGTTTTAGTCCTGAAAATGATGCAACACTTTCCGTTTCAGATTCATCATTTATACTTGTTTTTCTTTTTCTTTTCACACCGGTTTTTGTTGTAGTGTTTCGATCACAAGATTTTTGTGAAGAAGACAAAGGATCCTCGTTGGACATTGTTGAGACATCAGAATTCACAGATAAATTCGTTAATACTTTATTATGACGTTGAAATTCACTGTTTACAATTGATTTATAATCAATTTCACTATTTCCTGAAGTATCAAAACCATGATATTTTGTGTCAGCTGGGTTATCGTCATTTTTTAAGCCGTCGGGTGAATTGTATATTTGCAATGGTGATGATGTTGAAGGCATATACACACTCTGATCATGTTCACGACTATGATCTGAAAAAAAACCTGGTGAATCATGTCGTTGATAATCAATTCTAATATTTCTATCATACATATTCATCTTATGTAAATGTTGCTGAACTTCCTGGTGATTCCTGTCATCATCATAGGTTTCATAATAATGATAATTCGGTGGCATCGTTTGATAAGGCGAAGTATGAGAGTGATTAAAACTAGGTAAATTACGATGTTCTTGTGATGTACTTAAGTCTACCAAATGTGTTGGAGACAGTCGTTCATAATTCACCGGTGAATTGCTTGCTGAACTGCTTGCACTGTGAGGTATGCCTGGGCTATCATTAAGAAAATATAGATTTTGAAAAGTTCTCTGGCTTGATAGAGCGACTGGGTGCTGTGCTTGCATCATTAAAAATACTGTTAATTATTCTTCTGTTTATAACTGTTAACTTGTTTATCACTAAAATTGTTTTTGTTTCTTTATACACTTTGAACACTATGATATATTAGTTTCTAACACAGGTGACTTAATCCGCGATTTAAAAATAAACGAGAAAAATTTTTACCGTAAAACTTTTTTAACGAAATCCCGAAATAGTAACGTCTAATCTCAACTACAACCTTGAGTCTTCTGAACATTCGATGAGACGTCTTGGAGATGTCGGCTTACGAAGCCCGCCTCCATTTTCTGTCTTTCTCAAACATTAGCCCCACCCCGACATTTTCTTTTTATTCCCATTGCTGTCAGTCGTCTCCACCCACCCACACTAGGTTTGAGCTTCAAGGCGAGTCACAAAGTCTTCCTCTTGAATTCTTCAGCCTCAACGAAGATGAAAGACATGGTAGGGATCTGACAAATATTACAGATATATTCTACGACAGGATATGATTTTTCATTTTTGTTTTTATGTATAGTCAAATTAATTCCTTTTATTTCTATTTGAAACGAAAGAATTATCCTTATTTTATATTTACCACAAAATAATCCTACCATTCGACGGTCTCAAATTAATGACTTGACTTTTCTTTGATCACAACAACAATAATAATGGTGGTTACTCATCTGTAAGAGGATTAAAGATTAAAGATTGGATAATCGCCAATATTGGTCTCCAGATTTATTTCATTTATCTATCACCATCACATTATTCCATCTCAAGCTACCAGTTGATATTTATAGATTTTCACAACCCAAATGTCACTCTGGTATCATAACATGGTGGTTGATGATTATTAACTTTGATGTCTAAACTGAAAAAAAAACAATTATTCCATTATAATTTAAATCTATAATAAATTCTAAATTAATTTTTGCAAATGAAACATTTTTAAATACTTTCACAACATTATTTCTGTACGTTTGTATTTTAATATCTATCAAACTATGTATAAAAATAAAAATATACTATTATATGTATAATATAAATAAAATAGAGTTATTCTTATTATTTTCATGAACATCAAAATATAAAAATACCGACAAAATAATTATTAAAATAACAGTAACTGAAAATAATTATTCTTACCTTAGTGCAGAAATTAGTGGGAACATATTATCAACCAGTACCACCAGTAAGAAAAACATGTGCAAATTTGAATATTACCTGATACAAAAAGCAGCTAGTTGGAACAATATGTTCACCAAACATTGTCTTTGTTCGCTTGCTGGTGGCTAATAAATTTTATGATGGGAAAAGCCCCAATGATCTGGGAAACACCCTATTATGGGCTTCTCTCTATTCTTTCATCAATTAGGCATTGTGCAATTGATATGTGACCATTGTCAGGATTGACCAGTTAATAATATTGGTGATAATCTTGATCAGAACTTTGATAACTTGGTATATTTAAGATAAATACAATGGAACCGTACGTGTCAACTGTATACCATAGTTGAATTTATTATAATCAAAGTTTCAAAAACAGTTTGTGTAGAGGAGAACTTACCTTCGCCATGTGTCCAACATACGGAACGCCCATGCACCGTGGGATTGTATACACAGCATCTATAGGTATTCTTACTACTATACGTACTTCAAGAGAGTGTAACGTAGAGTAGCAGTAGTATTTAACAACGTGTCTACCACTTGCGAGTTTATTTTATTTGCCGCTTTCTAAACATATGTTGCACATTGTATTTTTATTTTATTGTTCAAATCTTTGTTGATTTATGCCGTGAGTTTTTTTTACATACTGTGAGAATTGACTGATTTTTTGTTCCATATACACATTTTTACTGGCAAGAAGATTTATGATTTTAACCCATACGTAGACAATTGAAGACATCTTGAAGAGTATTCTCTCAGCAATTATTGATAATAATTCAAACCTGAAAAATAAAAAATTAATTTATGTGAATGAATATTATTGTGTAGATTTGTGTTAATTTAAGAAGATTATTGGAGAACTGATGTGAGATAAAATTTAGACATCACCGTGTACGTGCGATATATTTGTTCTGGTCCTTACCTTCTTCTCAGCAGTAATCTTTTAAATCAACTTTCGAGTATAACATATGTGTACCATACCTGTCCTTCAACACTGGTAATCAGAAAAATTTGGACAGCACGTGTTCTTTCTGCAAGTGTGTACTAAAACTTAGTCGTTTAAGTTTAACGTGATTTACGTGTGTTATTTAGTTTATGAATATTTATTTCTGTAAAAAATAAAAATACATATATTTATAATCAATAATGTTCTACAGCATTTTTAATTATTAATCATCAAAAAAAACTCACCAGAAATTAATTTAATCATTTAAAAATAATTCCAATTTAACAATAAAGAATGTAATTTTTTTATTTTCGTTCTCAGCATTCTTTTTTTTTCATCAACCATCCATTTTTACTAAGCTTTGACTTTAACATGACGTTCATTTATTGGTTTATTAACCAATAAAATTTTTGGAAGGATATTGCATAAAATTGTGTCACAATAGGAAGGTAAAAAATAAATGAAAACATACCAGCCCAGCACCACAAAGCCAATTGGGAAAAACCGTGGCAATTTGCATAAGGCACAGGCACGTGCTAAAAACATACCTGGCCACCCGTCAAATTTCCAGTGCTTCTGTCATTAGATTATAATAGAATTTTATTTATTTAAACTACACGCCTTCGTAATCCAGAAGGTTCTTGGGTACACATTTTATGCGGGTAATGTATTTTCCCGTAGTAGCACGAGGTGTATATTATATCTTTCAATAACTTAGTCTTTAAGTCACCAGTCAATAATTGTTCTCACACTTTTAATCCTAATCTACACCAACAACTTTATCTTCTAATCTAAAATAGAACTACAATCAAGAAAACCACTACTTATAAACAAAGAAATGAGTCGAGTATTCTAACCTTGAAGTACTATCTCTTAAAATGAGCTTCATAAAGCTTGAAATTTACTATTTTTTGTTGGTTAAAACTCTAACATGTGTATCAACAATTGAATACGAGTTATAATCGGTAAACTAATATTTCAATAAAAAGGTTTTATCAAAGGTTGGGAATATTTTTTTAATACAGTTGACAATCTGTTTTTTACTGGGAAATTCCGATAGTAAAAAAGAACATATAAATTTTAAGTTATTCTTATTTATATTAGCAAGTTATTGGTCTCGGCTCTTGCAAACCTGTCTTTTGTTCATTGTACCTTTGCTGGTGGCAAGTCCTAACCTCACAAGAAGATATAGCTGTCATTATTGCCGACAGGCTATTTGAACGAGTCTCTAATAATCTAATTATCCTTGAAGTCAACAGTTACTTGTATTTCATAAAATGCTCTAATTTTCATACAAATACAGTTATTTGTTTAGTTTAATAATTATTTTTAAATGTACAAACATGATTAAAAATTAATACAAAGTGATACGTTTTGTTATATTGAAGCAGGGTGGTCTGTAATGTTTTTTCGTCTATGTACTCTTTTTATCTTAATTTTTACTTAAGTCTACCAGTAAATGAAAGAATAAAAAAAAAAAAGAAGACATAAAGTGAAACAAACATTCAAGAGAAGCTTTTCAAGTCGACTTCCGTCGTCGATTCGTTTGTATATTGTTTCAATGGGCGTTCACTACATTATAAACCATTTACACAGCTATGCATTTCAGTGGATATAATGTAGTAAAAAAGTATATAGATCAGTATAAAGTGATAATAAAATAATTAGCTTTTGGTTTAAAATTTAAATAACGTGATTTAGTTTACGTAAAAATTTTAAAACTACTGCAATATAATGAAATGACGTGAGAACTTCTTGAGTAGTTAACCATGAGAAATATTGTACACCAACTTTTCGTGACTACAACACTATTTGTAAACCTGGTGTCCAACACGTGTTATCTTGTCTCACGTGTACTCTGTTAGAGGTACATTTAATCCTCTATGTTGAATAATAAATAAAATGTAAAAATATTTATTATTAAATAAATTCTCACTGTTGAACAAAAAAATGTACCCCAATTTTTTTTTTTTTACAGGACAAAACAAGACTGCTTGCTACATCATTTTTAATTAATACATAATTCAACCAACGGTTGAAATACAGTTGAGCAAAATGAAAAAAACTTACATGGGAAGAATGAAGATAATATTACAATGTGGAGAAGAATAAAAACATGAAAATAGTGGACAAGCGGCCCCCGCTGAGTTCTGGAGCCTAGAACCAATCCGTGAGGCCCCCTTTTTTTTGTTTTTTTTTCTCTTTCTCGACAGTTAGTTTATAACATCACTCAGTACATGCTAACATCAACTCACGTTTACTACATATACTGCTTCAAAAGTTCATTAATGCTTTTTAACCTTAAATTTTAAATATTCACATCGATATTGAAAATATTTAATAATTATTTATATTAAAATATCCATCTATTTATTAATATTATAATATATTTGTAAGTCTCCATCTAATGACTATTAGACTAACGACAATTTGTTAGTTAAAGACGATTAGATTGTTTATAGCAACGAGGGGAGAGTTTGTTTATCTCCAGTTCTTGACTGAGACTTGAGTTGACCGGACGTATACTTTCTATTTTAATTAATATCTGTTAATCTTTAATAAACTTTTTCTCCATTCATTAATTTTCTGAAGTTGTTATTTGGACTTATTTGACAATATTTTCAAAAATGAAAAAACTCCATTGCTTTTTACCTTTCAGGAGCTTGAATTTCATTCATAAATAGCCAGTAGAATCCTTTAGCCGTTCCTATTGGCTGCATGAGAACAGGTAGATGCCAGGTATGGAGTATCAAAGCTCCGCCCATCAAGTGTTATATCTATATTAAATAAATACTCAAGTAACTGTGATTTTAAACATTACTGATGAATATGAAGACTTACTTAGCATATTTAAATTAATTAATTAATCAAAAATATATTAAATTCAATTTTTAATTCATAATTAATGAAAATTTTTTTGATGATAATTAAAACAAGTATCTAAGAAGAAGATTGGGAAGAAAAATAAATGAAGATTTGTTTTTTTTTACAGAAACCAACTCTATGCCCGTAACGTATTTTCGGTTTGATTCTTTTTCCTTTCATTTACTCACCAACGAAGAAACAGTGCATGTATAGTAGACCATAGTAATTTTTAAAAACATCCAATGCATGACAAATACCATAGATCACTGGTCCCCTCACATTTTCTCAACTATAGTCAACATTAATAAATGTTCCCAGTCTACATTTATGGGATGTGCTTACTATTCTATCTATTAAAATTCTAAACATTAATGTATACCGTACTCAATGCAATTAACAAGCCATCTTTATCATACATTATCATGTTTTGAATAAATATTTTTAAACCGTATGATATAAAATAAAAATACAAGTAATATTTACTCTTAATGTTAATAATTCGTTTGATAATTTAAATGAAGCAATTAAATAATTAAAAGAATTACTTTAAATACTATGAAAAAAAATGCAGTTGATTGATTGAACATTTTTTTAATTATATGACAAAGGCTATGAAGCTGCAAAAATGGAGTAAATTAAAAAAAACATCTTTTATAGATAGATTTGGTGTACCCTTCCGTTTCTCATAAATCTCATCTTACGCTTGACACGACGAATAACTATATGATGAGAGTTAAAAAAGTTTTTTGTTACTTATTTCATATCTGTATACATGCATCACCGTCACTATCCCAAGTGATCATTATGTTTTATTGGCGATTGAAATATTTATTGAGTGTCTAATACATATTGAAAGCTTTGCACTTAACTTAAAATAATAATATATTTTTATTAAACATCAACAAATTTTTTTTTAGAAATAATTTTAAATATCAATCAATTCAACAAAGATACTGAAATTTTTAATTGAATAATAACAAATATTTTTTTTCTTTTTAGAATTTTTAAAAAATATGGTCATTATTTTTCTTTCAAGTTCAAGAATTATCAATAAGAAATTTGAACATATTAGACAGCTGCTGTGTGATTGATGAAGAAGAGAAATCGTTAACAGAATGAGCTTTCGAAATTTTGACAAGATCCATTTTGGATGTGAGACGTACACTTATGATGGACCGTGTTAATATTTCAAGTACATTAAAATAAAAAGAGCCTAAAACATTTATAAATTAAATCAGTGTAGTTCTTGTGATGGCTAAAAAATCAACGTGATGTTATACTTTTGGAGATTAAGTGATTACTGTTGAGCAAAGTGTGTAAGATATTTAAGATGAACTTAACAACTTACATGACAAGAAGATTTAATTATTGATTATTTTGAAAATGTGTAAAAATATGAAAATACTTGAAGAAGAAGATAAAAAATATCATTCACTAATTAAAAGTATTTTTTAGTCAAAGTAATGGCTATGTGATCCTGTGGAGATACGGTCAAAGTGTTGCTGGTGGTCTTTCGAACCATAAAATTGTCGATGACATTCCACTTCCTGCGTCCCTTATTCGTAGAATTACTTGGATTATTTGTGTAAATATTCATCCATAAAAAAATGGTAAATTATAAATTTTCCATGCTCATATATTATAATGTTTGATTGTGTACAATCAAGAATTTTATAGAATTATTTCAGATATAATTTATAGAAAACATTGGGCCTGAAATCATTTTCAAAAATTTCATTTCTGTATATACATATATATATATATATATATAAAATAGAATGCAGCTGCTGTTGACATAAAATCCGGTTCACATGACCGTTTTGGATCGTTTCTTTTAACGCATCTTGTATTACTCTTCGCGCCTTCATTCGCCGTTTTTTATCATCTTACACTTAATCAGTAAGTCTCACGACCAGAAATAATGTTTACTTGATACTTATAATTACTAGCAAAATAATTTAATGTTAATTTGAAATAAAGGTAGGCTAAAATGTTGATAAAAAAAACATTAAAAAAGATCATGTTGAGTACAGTATAGAGAAAAACACTGGTTTCATTCATTACTCTATACTTATTTGACCCACATTCGCAGAATTGATTCTCCCTCTCTGCAACTTGTCTGCGGTACCAAGACGTTTTTACTCCTCTTAAGCTATTGCCGAAAGATTGCAGACTTCATTGGATCCAAGTTTGATGTCGCCGACAAAGATCGAAGTCTCAAGTACTCTGTACTATGACTATTTCGTGATTAGGTCTTCTTGCCAATTTTTTAGCATCTCCATAATCAATAAAACAGCAAAAAATAAATTCAATCATTTTTGTATCTGTCTAATAATTAAATCTTATAGTAATAATATTATTCAAGTTCAATATTAAATAGTAGCAAGTTTTAAGTTAAAAATAGTAAGTATAAAAAATGAAGAGTACGTTGTAATAAAGGGAAAGGAAGTTGAAGAAGTAGCGTGACGACGTAACGGAACGACAAACCACTATACCATGTTACTTATGCTGGATTGTCTCGTCTGCATACTCTCGTTTGTATTCTTTTGCCGACATAAAAGATATAGTTATTCATTTTTTACAGCTAAAATTTGTATATAAAATTTTTGATAACTCTACATCAATGTATATTAACGAGATAAATAACGAACATGAGTATGTACATGTGTAAATATTTACGTAAATGTAATTAAAGTTATATTAAAAAATATTTAACGACTATTAAACAGCTTGTTTATGCATAAAATATTTTATTGAATTAATCACTAGATTAACATTTATGGAAATTCATTTTTTTTCTGGTATCACTTCACTGATTCCGTACATTCCTGCTAATAAACGACCATGAGAAATAGGAACTGGTTCTTTTGGTGGTAAATAAGGTCCTTTTTCACCCACATAAACATAACTATATTCAAGTTTAGGAATATTATAATTAGATTTGAATGATGTGAGATGAAAAAAATAGTATTGATGTATATATTTATAAAAGGATACGGTAATCTTAAAACCCAATACGCGCTTTGTGATAGTTTTATGGGTTCTTCAGCTCCAGTTACAAAGATAGGGCATGGTGAAGGACCAGGTTGAACTCGTGGATTGAGTGTAACATGAACTGGTGCTTTAGGAGTTACTACATGGATTCTCATCAGTTGCGCGATAAGTGGTTTTGATTGCCTGAAAGGAAGAGAACAGTGAGATAAAATAACAGAAACAACTTGAAAAGTTTTAAATGATTAAATTAAAACAAACCTGCAAGGGCATGGAAAATAAAGTGGCATATCGGCTGTGCTTGACGTTACTTTATTACCACTATCTTTAACGATACCATTCCCGGCTGCTTTTAAAACTTTATCAGGTGCAGAAGCCATAAAACGGTGGCCCCGAGGGCACTCATATTCAACTCCAACAAATATTTTAACTACAAATTCTTTTCCGCCTTTTGATTTCCGGCATTTTAATGCATTAGAATTTTGAAAATTTTTTCCTCGTAAATTGTAAGCATGATCTCCAGTTACAGGCCAAAAAGATCCTCGTTCTTTTTGATGTTCCAATCGTACAGTTACATCCCAAGGAAGTAAAAATGCAGAAGTTGCTAGAATTCCAGTTTGATGTTGTAATCCTAAATTATGGGAATATAAACTACTTGGTCCAAGACAGACTAATGACCAACTAGAAAATTGTGGTAAAAGTCCAGCTGGAGATTCAGTATTTAACATTCCTGGTAAATACTCCGTTGTTGATGGCTGTCTTATCAGTGCCTTTTCTAAAAAATATTCATCCAAATTTATTGCTGAATTATTTATATTCAATCGAAAAAATATTCATTAAATAAAACAAAAATAATTTAATACCTTTAGAATTGTCTAAATCTCCTTCAGTCACTTCAATAACAACCTTATGAGCATCAGGAGTAAGTAATATTTTATTCAGTCTTTGTGCTTCCTCACCATGAGAATCGCTATTTGATGCTAACTGTTCTCCACTTCCATAGCCTTCAATGTTATCTATGTATCATAATAACAGTGTTACAACATGTTCAATTGTTTTTCATCAAGTAAATTGTTTAATTTAAAATATACAAACCATGTAAAGTACTATCTACTAAGCTACAAGCTTGAGTTTGATTTTGAGGTGTTGAATAATCAACACGACTACATGAATCTTTTCTATTCATATGTGGAAATAATTGAGCCGCTCTGCGAAAAATTAAATTTATGTAATAGTAATTATTTATAAAAAAAGATCATAATAATGTATTTACCTAAAATTGTGTGTACTTGGTTGAAATACCGGAAATTCAATACTTTCTAATTGTATACAGCCACACTGCTTAGCCATCAGTTGAAACCAATCATAATTAGCATGACGTAAATTAAATGGATCTTCCCTAGGGCCTTGACATCTTCCACAATTGCAGGCACAAACATATCTTACTCCACTACAATGTTCCATAACTGGTAGTTCATTATCATCATTACGATTTTCACCCAATTCACCGCCTCCAGCTCCATCACTGCCACCCTTGTGAATTGGATTTGTACATGGATTACCAGTCAATGATAAAACTTCACACATTTGTCTTCCAGCATGCCAATGTTTCTCACATTCTTGTTGTATCTTTTCACTGAATTCTTCAAATAACGGGCCTCTAGCATGCATCTCAAAAATCATCATTGCATGAGCCAGCTTACTTTCGTGATAAGCACGTCCATAATGCTGCGGTAAATTATCTTGATAAGTTTGGAGTGCACGTGGAAGTACTTTACTGCATCTACTTCTACTAAATTTGACGTCTGTATTCAACAATCCATGTAACCAAATAAGATCTTTATCATTACTATGGATAAAAAACTCATAAACTACATTAGCTACTTTAAAAAATGTAGATAATAATGGTATCTCAAAATATGAAGGAACGTTATGTCTTCTTACTTTACTATTGTCATCGAAGCCTTTGCTAAATGCTAAATTAATATGTTCTTGTAAAAAAGATTTAAAAGATCTTTGCTCATTTTCAGAATTAAATTGATTAAAATTTGTATCTGAATTAACTACATTTTTAGATCCCAATCCAGTGGAACCTATCCTACAACTTTCAATTAGTTTCTTCAACATATATCCCGTGATATCACGTGATTCAGTTACTCCAGTGTTGATAAATACAAATTCTTGATTTGCTGGAATAGCAAACAAACAGTAATAACTGATGTTATAAACAACATGACTTCCACGAAGTATGCTATAAATTTGATCTTCCAAAGAATGCTCCAATTGTTTAATATTTGTTAAATCCTTAGAAACATCTTTAAATAATTCCGGTCCAGTTTCAAAATAAAATAATACTCGTGGTGAACATGGTCTTCCATTTGTTACCCAATTTCTAGGTAACCCTGTTATAGAACCTAGAACATGAGATAATTGTCCTGATAATTTTTGCCTAAAAAGTAAAAAAATAACAATTGATGTTTTTGTAAAATATTGGAGTATTAAATAATTGAAATGATAGTAATGTTATAATATTTACCTCACTTTGTCCAAAGCTCGAAATAAATGCACATAACTGTAGTCAAATGTATGGGTTGGATGGGTTACAACTACTAGATGTGATATGTGAAATAAAACTAACAAGGCTTTGGCATACTTTTCACGCATATACGCCCATGCACTCAAGAAATCTTTACATTCTAATTTTTCCATAAAATTATCGTACTGTGAAACTAAAGTATGACTATCTAATATTCCTCTTAGGTGTAAATAGATTACTCGTTCTTTAACATTATGATATCCTTCGATTTCCACCTTGAAAAGAATTCATGAGAATAATTAGGGTGAAAGTGATTATAAAATTGATTAAAAAATGGAATATTTACCAATGTATCATTGTTGATTGAAGGTTGTTCTGAAAGATCTTCTGATAAATTTGTATTAATCATTTGTGATTTATAACCTTTCGCTCGATATTGTGATTTTCCAATAATCGATACTATAACCACTTTTTCGTCGTTTTTGTACAAATATTCGTTTTCGGTGCATGGTATTGTAAATTTTTTAGGACGCATTAACAAAAATTAAGCACTAAATTATAATATGTTTTGATTTACACTGAGTCTCGTTTCTCCGGCACTGTTGACAAAAATGTGGGAAAATATAATCAGCTGATTTTCCAAAGCGACCTCTTTATGAAGTCATGCGTAATATGGCACTGCGATCGACACAAGATAATGTAGAGACTCTACTCAAGGTCATTACCGATAAAAATTTCAACTTTTTCATGGAATTATTTTTTTACACATACTATTGGTCGTAAAACAGTATTTATAATATTTAAAATTTAAATAATTGTGAAAAATCATTTTTAAATAGTGATTTGGCATTAAAAAATAGTTTAAATCAATTATCCAAAATGTCATTAGTTATAAACTGGAAGACTATAATTAGTAATACAAATAATTTTTGTAGAAAATCAAATGTGATAACGATGCAAATAAAAAAATTCAGTAGATCGAAGATAAAATTATCATCTGATGAATTAAAAACTGATACTCAATCAAAAGGAATACGAGCAGCAATTTTGAAAAAGTTTTCTGAACCATTAGTGATTGAAAATATAAAACCTTTACAAATATCGGATCCTCATGAAGTAATGTTTTTTTGAAGTATAGGTTATTTCATAAAATTTCAATCCAGGTATAAACAAAATGAATGATAGAAGTTGAAAAAAAGAGCTATTTTATTTTTAAATATCAAAAATTAAATATTTTACAATTTTATTAATTTATATAAAAAGCCTGGATGGAATTTTTTATGTTATTATGAAACTTATTTTTTAAATTCAATTGATATATTTATTATTTTTATAAGTTCTTCTATTTTAGGTATTGATTGATGTACATTATTGTTCATTAAATGGACCAGATGTCCTTTTGACAAAGAATGCTTATTCAGTCGAACCAACGTTGCCAAAGATTTTGGGTTATGAAATAGCTGGAAAGCTTTTACAGGTAGGTGATGAAGCAAAAGCGAAAGGATTTAAGGTTGGAGATAAAGTGATTGCATTGAATAAGAATAAATTTGGCGGGCTAGCAGAACAATGTGTAGTAGAAATGAACGTAAGTTGTATCATAGAATAATCTGAACTACTATTAGCAGTTAATGATTGATTCTAACTAAAAATTACATTACATTATTTCTTCAGGATGTTTGGAAGATGTCATCTTCAGTAAAAATGTTGGATTCAGTATGCCTACTGGAAGATTATCTAACAGCTCTCATCGGTCTTGAAAAAAAAGCTAATTTAGATGAAGATGAAATGGTGTTAATTAACGTTGGTCTAGGAGGAATTGGCTTAGCAGCTGTTGATATTGCAAAAAATGTCTTTAGAGCACAGGTTATGCAAGAGAATTAAATTACATAATTTCGATTATATTATTTAATTGATATTATTATCAATGCTTACTTTATTATTAGGTTATTGGAGTGAGCAAATCGGAAAATAGAACAGCACTAGTTCGTGATAAAGGTGCATTTGCTTCTATCAAATACAATGACAAACAATTAATGAATAAAATTAAAGAATTTGCTGATGAAAGAGGGATCAAGGATGTTTTTGATGGGGAGGAGGGTGACAAATTTAAAAAAATGTTAGAATGGTACGTATATATTACAATAAAAAGTCTCTAATAGTTTATTTAAAATATCTAATATAGATTTTTTTTTAGTTTTACCAGTCTTTATAAAGAAGAGAATCAAAATAATCTTTTACGCGATAATAATTTTGCAGTATTAGTTGAGCATTTATCACGAGAAGGTATTTATATGAACAGATACATAAATATAAGAGGATAAAATATGAAAATGATAATAAATACATATTTTCTTTATCTAGGACGTCTGATTGTTGCTGGATTCGCTATGACTGAAACAGATTATCCAGCAGACAAATCACAAAAATGCCCGTTCTCTATTACTGGCATCGATTTATCGCAATATAAATCTCAAAATCTGGCAACTTATCGGTAAACTGATTTTTTAACATAGAATAAATAATTCATTTTCAGTTTATGATGAGTTTGCAATTTTCCATTACAACATATCTATCTGTGATGTTTTCAGTGAAGCAGGCAATGAGATTTTGCAATATCAAGAAGAGGGTCTAATAAAACCATCATATTCTCTTGTCGCAGGTCTTTATAAAATAAACGAAGCAGTTAAATTTATCGCTGATTTTAAATCTACAGAAAAGGTTAGTATAATAACTTTTCTATTGCATCAATAATTAATGCAACTTTATGAATTCTTGCTAATTCCGTTAGGTTGTTATTGATCTGAAAAATCCAGAGGCTGAAATGAAGTTCAAAGAAAAATAAAATATATTTGATAATTATTTTGTACTTATCAATTGTAACAGGTAAACTGTTAGTTTAAAATAATTTAATTATATTAATATATTTATTATTTTTAATTAAATAAATTTTTAATAAAATCAGAACATTTATTTAGATCACTAAACTATTACCGTTTAACTTATGTAAAAGTCCTTGTTACTTTTACCAGTATATAATTTACTTCCTTCAAACACATACACACTTATAAGCTACTGTTTATAAGGTATTTTTTTCCAAGAATAAATGATAGTAAATGGAGCAAAAGAAAGAGTTGTTCAGGACTATTCTAATTAATAATATGATGCAGCTAAAAAGTATTTTTTAAACATTTTAATTTTATTTGAAATAAAAAAAATATTTTAAAGCTGATATTCAACATATCTATAAACAATAATATACAGGATAAAAATAATGTCTAATGATTCATCAACAACCTGGCGGATTGTTTATCTAGTTGATCGTGTGATGTATAAATGTCTTACAAGTGTTTAACGCACCTTCATTAGACTTTTATTGGTGATATTGCAAATTCAACGAAAATACCCTCAGGCATGGGTGTGGTTTAATATGAACAACAATTTTATATGACAGATCATAATAAAATTTTTTGCTCGATTTAATCGCAAAATTTCACTGCGACTGTGAGAGAAAGAATTATCTTACACAATATCAAAAGTTAAGAAATAAAAAATACCAACGTAAGTGCGGAACTTGCAGACAAATCCTTCAAGACTGCTGGTGGAGAAAGGCGGCCACCCACTACATTACGCAATTCTTTGCTCCAGTTATCAGTATACAATTCTTTTTTGATTCCAGCATAACCTACCTGGTGAGTTTATTAACATTATAACAATAACATTATCTGTAATAGACAGTTAACATGGTACTAAACTTCATTAAATAGATGACTCGTCGTTTATTTCAAGGGTTTAATAGACATTGTTGTGGGTAGAAGGAAACGTCATTGTCAAAAGAGTAGCAAATAATTTGTATAATTACCAAAGACAAATGAATTCAATTGATATTATAATTAATTATTACAGTGAAACCAAGAGATAATTTAGTTGTTTTTATATTATTATAATTTACATATTTACCTCATTTGTTAAAAAATTTATGCAAATTAAAAAGGATGTGATAGGAATGATGGCGGGGGCTACATACAAAAGCTGTATGATATTATACTTACAGCTCCAATCTTGAAGAGGTGGACAGTAGGGATAAGAAAACGCATGCACGTAGTCAGACAACTCGCTGCTAACTTAGTCTACCGATCGCGTCTTTACTGAAAACTTGATACTTTGCTACTTGTTCTTTTTCTACCCAAGTCTGACAGTTACCGATTTAATCATTATTCATACTTATTTATCGATTTAAAAATATTTACAAAATATAATGAACCATAATAGAAATAATTTTTATAAAATTTATGGATAAAAACTTCAATCTAAACATTCTCAAATAAAGTAATATTTAAAAAAAAAAAAAAAACATTTAATTTATTCTAATAAATGATCATACATCAAGTGGTATTTTAATGAAATCAGTAGTTATCTAAAAAAAGAAGTTTATGGTGATATTCAATGAAATATATGATAATTATCGAATAATTTAAATAAAGGTTTAATGAAAAATGTGATCAAATACCTTTATACAATTAAGTTGACAAAATAGCGGGATATTTTCTCTGTGGAGGAAGGAAGAGAAGGCTGTTCCAGGCCAACAGCTGTTTATTGCTTAAACAAGAAACACGCCCACGAGAACTCGTGCATCGTTAACTTTCGATGAAAGAAAGTTACGAAAGTCAAAAACACTAAATGTGATCAAAAAATAAACTAGCTACATAATAATAATCATCATAATACAATTATTTAATTAGACAGTGGAATTAAAAAAAAAAAAAGGATGAGATTGAATGATAATTAAACTTATCACAAAATAATGTTGAATTATTTGAAGTTTTAGGAAGATCAATGAAGTGGAAATATCAGTTAAATAATTGCAACATAATGCTTCCTAAAGAGATGATGATTAAGTCTAAAAGTTTATTTAGGGATTTATCCAATTGATTGTGTACGATCAAGTGAAATTGAACAAGTGATCAAACGGATATCGTGCCGTGACAACAAGACAGAATTAAAGATAGCGTGAAGGTGAAATTAGGAAGTAGAAAGTCCAAATTCTGTGGATTTACTTGAAAAAGGTAAATAATTTATTATTCCACTCTTAGCATTCAAATTAGCAAAATAATTTTTATTTTCAAGTCTTAAGTAAATATAGTAGTTACTTATAAAGTTTGAATTAATTCATTTATATATACAAATGTATTATTCAAAGGATCAAAAGTATATAAATAATATTTTTGAATTTCTAATGTACGTTTATTCATACTACCTTTATTAATTCTTGTACACATATCAGCTGTGAACCACGAGGGAAAGTCATAGAAAAATTTCCTTTTGATTATTTTATTGTATGTCAGGACGTATGATTAAAGTTTTTTGCCTTACACTAATATGTGTGGTCTCATTCATGAGAATTTTACTCACTCGCGCCTTTTTTTTTATGTAACTAATACTTATTTTATTCATCACTTATAAATCTTGCTGTGTAACTAACGGTGTTGTTGATTTATTAGATCATTAATTATTTTTCCGGTTTCTTCTTCACTGTTACTGTAACAGGTTGAAGGTCTATAGATTCCACAGTTCTACGGTCCACTTGATATACTTTTTGAATCCTGAAAATATTTTACAAATATTTTAAATGAAAATTTAAATAAAAATATTATAATTATTATATTATATTATGAAACGAAAAAAGTTGAAAATTTTATTGAATAAAAATGAACTAATTTCAATTGAATTGCTCCAGACTTGCATCAATTTATCTTTAATTATACTACAATTATAATTTTCCAGTAGATGTTGTGGATCGACTTCACACAACTTTCACAAATGGCGACCTCGTCAGTCTTATTTGCTTGTTGAGAACAAAATTTACTTGTATTTTCTTCTTCTCATTTTCTTTCGATTACTTTTATCATCTCTAAAATATATATATTTTCATATTAAATTTTTCACACCAGGTACTTTACATAATCATCTGAGCAACCAGAAAAACGAGAATATTTATCGACGAAACTTATTGTTAAAGATTTTTTGTTTTATTTATTATTCTCTTCAATTTCTTATACATCGTTATCCTCATGATACAAGTTGGAGTATAAAATAAAATTTCACTACAAGCAAACAATAAATAAAAAATGAAAACAATGAAAAAAAAAAAATATTTAAAATGCATTACCCATAACTAATGAGATACAAGGATGCATACATGCACCTACCCATCAATTGGAATATGCTGCACAAGTGGACTCGTAAAATTGTCGAGGACACGTGTTTCGTGCATTCGAACCACGCGGATTTGAAGCCATCTTGAAATACCAGCAAGTATATACATAAAATAACTTGTCTTGACTTGGTTTTATAATCTACTGTAGCTTTACAATCAACTTATATATCATCTCTTTCTATCTCTCTTCCTTCCATTCTTCTCCACTATATTTATGCTCTCCAAATATTTTTATTCTCCAGTGAAAGTATATTTCAAAATTGTCATTAAATCTGTAAGAAAAATAGCAAAAAAAAAAGGTATAATTAATAATTAATAACCATATTTATTTTTTTCTTCATATAAACTTAATAATGTATTATTACATCAAAGTAAATATTTTGTAATTTTTCCATTACTATCTCATTAGAATTGACACTTGTTACACGTGCGAGAAAATAAATTCATATCAAACAAGAACTCGGTTTTCTCTACATCAAGATGATACACGTTTTACGGTTGAACAAGTCGTCATGAAACCACGAGTTAGATTGACCACTTGCAGCAAGATATCACTTTCTCTAGGTTTCGATTATATTATTTATTGGTAGACTGGTTGGTGAAGAGGTTTGAATATATTGTTAATATATTAGATATTAAATATAAAATACTAAAATATTACTTCAGCGATTTATGAATTATGGTCAAGGAAAAAATAATCATCAGGTGTAGTTAGTCTTTTAAATCAGTTGATATAGAAATTAGGGAAAGCAGTGTTCATGGAAGCTAGTGTTACTTTACGTAAGGTGAAAATTCTTGACCATATAATCCTTTTGTATATTTTAAATTTCAATTAGTTATTGTTAAGTATGTATAATACTTTATTTATTATATTAATAAATGATTAACTGATAACATTTATTTTAGATCTCACGAGTGCGATCCATAGCCATGAACCTCGCGCTGCATGGACTTCTGTTGCAGGGTAAGCTACTTGTAATTCTTCTTCTTATTATTCATATTCTTTCTACACAAGCCAAGAATGTGTAAGATGATGCTTATAATGTTAATTTTATTTCACACATGTGGATTTAATGCGGTCAAAATGTGTGGGCAGTGACTTTAATTGTTATTATTTTTATTATTAATATTATTATTTTATATTTGTCCATATGATTCTTTAAACTGAAAACTTCAAAAGTGCAGGATGTGTGGAGGATACTTCCGGCAATTATTTAAAGATTCTGAAAAGAGTATATATATGTACATAAGTAAAGCTTCATCAATCTTTAACGGTACACGATAGAATTATTAATAAGGAAATATTCATAGATTTTCTATGGAGATGAGATTATTAAATGAATCTTATGACTCATCGTTGAAGAATTATTTATGTTACAGTGTAGGCGCAATCTTATCTTTGGTGAATTTGATCTGAAGAAGGTACTATTTATATGAAAAGTTACATCAGTATGAAATAGACACTTAATGGCAGAATATTTTATACACAAGGTCATTAATAAAAATATTTTCCTTACTTAATATGAAATGTGGATATAATATTATTCAACGATGATTACTTACAAGAATGTGTCTCAAGTCAAATGTTCTCTACTCGTGCCCTCTTTCTTTCTAGACTCGAGCACCTTCTCTTGATTGCGTAATATTGTAACTTAAACATCATCAGGATTCGAGACCTTTACTTTCCAAGTGCGGTTGGGAGAATGAAAGAGAAAGAAATAGAACGGAGCGTGGATGGTTCGTGAAGGATGCGCTAGTTTTTGTCATACTGAAAAATCAAGTTTATTTTTAATATTTTTTTTTTTAATAATTTTTAACAGTTAATTAAATTAAGATATTGTTGAAAATACTTACTTAAATATTCAATAATAAATCAATTCATATTAAAAACAGTAAATAATTATTGTTAATAATAATTAAAACAATTGAATAATAATTGTTGTAATAAATGGGTTCTCGTGCAAGTGTGATATCAGGTTTTTAGATCGGAAGTTTGGCGATTCATCCAGGTGTAAATGTTTCAAGTAATAACGAGTGTGCAATATAACCCTGAGGACGTTTTCCGGAGTAGAGGTAAAAGTAAATGATCTTTGCTTCGATGCAAAATACTGTACTACTATATTGCAGCAGTTGAAGTCGCGGTTGACCGACCTCTTGATTGGCCATACAGTTAACAAGCTATGTTATATAATTGAAGTATTGATTTTACAATATTTAATATAATATTTAACTTCTATTCTCTCAAAGACATCCATTTTTATTGATATCATGATTATTTGAGCAAATATTTTCTAAACACTGTTGACTTTCATATTGTCATTTAGTGCACTGCAGACTAGTGCCATAACACTATAAGGAAATAAGGTGAAAGGTATAAACTCTTCTTCTTACGTGATTTTACAATACCACTATTGCCCTTTGGCTTCTAATAAAGCTGGTGAAGCTTCCTCAACGTGAACACTGTACACTAAAATAGCACAAGAACTATAATTTAATAGTCAATAAAACGAAATGGTGTATTGAGAAGAAAAAAAAGGTATCCAAGGACGTATATTTAGATATATTTTAATGAATCATCTAGCGATTTATCGAGCGATTACTGTCAAGATTTACGAATCATCTGCTTAGATGCACTCACGTATCTGCCAATCGTGTGGCAGACGAACATCTCTTGTAAATGTCACGAGATTCACACAGTCATTGCTCCAAGATGTTATATCATTCGATACTGATGCGTCTTAACTGTCATGTCTGTACATTTTGATCAGACGAAAGCACTTTGAGTTTTTTTCCCATTCTTATTAAATGCCTCTTAAAGTACCTGTGAAATGAAAAAATAAATTACTTTCATAGTCAAAGATTTTAATGAATTACACCATTTAATAATATTGGTTATAATATATCGTTGGTAATTAATCTCAAAATATTTTAATCATTAATAAAAGAAATAATTAAAAATTTGAAACAGTGTGGAGAAAGGTTGCATTGAATTTTGTGTCAAGGTTATTCGATTCATTACCATTGGACCTATTGAACCAGTTTCATAACTAGTCATTTTTGGCTACACGGACAAAAATTACTGCTAAAAAATAACAGCTTTAGATTTTGATGTGTTTTAGGAATTTTTCTTAAGACATAACCAAAAACAAAACTGTTGCAAGATTTCATCTTCTACATCTTGCAGCAATATTTTTTTTTTGTAGACTATTACTTCCGACCAATGACATTTTGGGTAAAAATATCAGCGGCAATAATGATGATTATTATATAAGATATTAGTGAAAGTCCAATTGAATGATAATAATGATAATAATAACAAACAATTAATTTAATAAATTTACTGATTGACATTCATTATTTATACATAATATATATTTATATGTTATATTATTAATATAATATAATATAATAAAGAATACTTGAATAACGATTTATTAAATATCAATTTATACTTACATTATATAGAATTTATGATAAATAACACATTGGTTTCAATTTCTTTTCTCCTTTCTCTTTCACATGATTTTTCATTCAGCTTTATACTTCGTTTATTTACTTGTGAAAATAGTGATTGTCAATTATTGTATCATCACTATAGGGAATCACCAAACTGTACTCATTACACTTGCGATTATACAATCGAATTGATGCACGTATCACAAACGAAAAGATCGCAGTGAAAGGTTTCACGGTAGTGCGTGGAATAATCTAATAAGACTTTCAATGTTGTAATTATTTGAATATATCTATTATAGTTCTAGATATTATTAGTAGTTTTCAATTATATTATTGCAATTTTTCAAACGTAAAATCAAGCTGATTATAAGTGTTGTGACTTTCTTTATATCATTGATCGGTATTATTTTCTACTTTTCTGTTTCAGTTATCTTGTCGATCCTTCAATTTCGATATGGCGTTCGATTGTGCAGCGCGGGGGAACCTGGCGTAAGTTATTTTATTATGGCTTTAAAAAAAATGTAGTCTTCAAACATATTTATTAGGTTAAAATTACGCATAATCATAGGAAATAATTGATTGATTGTTTTTTTCTATTTTTAAGTACCTGGATTTTGATAATTTGCCCGAAACAAATTTTTCGTGCCAGGGGAAGGTGATAGGAGGATATTATGCGGATGTTGAAGCAGGATGTCAGATGTTTCATGTGTGTACTATAGGTCAAAAAGGTAATTCAATATTTAAAGTATTGTATTTTATTTCATGACTGGCGACAGTATATGACATTAGTAGAGATTTATAATAAGTATTACGTAATAATCTCTTACATAAATTACAAGGACCGGCTCGTGCCGTTAGCATTTTTCATGATAATTTTTGCAACAGTTCTATATACATACATATACTAGCATAACAAGATCGGATATAATATTTTTAACTGAGAAAGTCATTGGATATTTATTCATTTTTTATTCATAAATAATAAATAGCTGCAATTCTGATTCTAAAATATTCTTATAAATATATGAAATGCTTTGATTTAATTGATCCTATTTTTTAATAAAAAATTTTAATTATTGGTATTAATTAATTAATCGTGATAACATAGTTATTGGTAAATATAATTACAGATGAAATAATGGACATCAAATTTCTTTGCCTAAATGGAACGGTTTTTGATCAGGAAACAAGAGTTTGTGAACGAGTTGATGAAGTTGATTGTAGTAAGAGTGAGCGCTTCTACAATTTGAATCTTGAACTTTATGGTAACAATGCTGTGACACTTAGGTAAGTATTATTTCGAATTAATTATTATACAATCATTATTATCGATGAAAAAATAAAATTTTCTAAAAATAATCTAGACTTGGAAAGTCGTTTGATACATATTTTTTTTTCTTTGCAACTGGTTTTATGTATCAGTACGTTCACCCTGTACTGATCTAGAAACTTTCGCAAGGACCAATAATACGAACATACCATTTATTGAGATATATTTTTTTAAGCTTTACATTCTTGTTGAAAAAGAGAAAAAAAATTTTTTTTAAATATTCATTTCAGTTTACACGAGGGAGAAGATAGTAATGAAGAGCCGCCATTGCTTATTGAGGATCATCAAGGAACAACATCAATTCGACCGAGTACAATGAGTACAAGTACTACAACTCCTCGATCATCAATATCTTCAACAACTACATCAAATGATCCTTTTCAACATCCTAGTGGATATCCTCAACGTTTCCAACCGCAACCTCCATTTCCGTCCATTCAAACTAGTCAGTCTAAATCTCTTTATGATGATAAAAATATTGGCTTTCATCGTCAATATATATATCATATAGATAACCAGAATGAGAAAACTGATATTAATACTAACAATAATGATAACCGAGCAACTTCATATCAACTATTTAGTAACCAAGGAGTAAGTTCGACTACTGGAACTCCTCATGTACACCAAGTCCACTACAGTTCAACTTCCAATCCTCAAATAAATATTGGTAATGATCCATCAACGGTTTCGCCACTTTTTCATACCACCTCATCAACAATTCAAACATTATTAACTGGCAATGCAAATAATCCCAATTTAATTAATTCTATTTTTCATGGTAATGGAATAGCCAGTACTACAGACTTTACTGTACACAGTAATTCAGCAAGAGATACTTCGGATTATCAACAAAATAGACATAAAATTAATAATAATGAATCAGACAGAAGATTCCTTGAACCTATTCAATCAACGAATCAAGGAAAAATATCAAAGTTGACGATATCACCTGTTCCTACTCAACGAGAAGTTGAAAGAATGAAACAACAGTTGAAGAGTACCCAGACAGTTTCACAATCACAATCAACGTTGCAACAACAGCATAGAATACCATCTGGTTTTTTGACTATTGCACCAATGAATAATAGTCCGCCTGGAGTGGGATCTTTCTATCCAACGCCTAAAACTTTGTCTAAATCACAATCATCAAGTACACACATTACTCAACACATTCAAGTACCATCAATATCCGCGGTACCTCAATTAAAGCTTCATCAAGTGACAATTAATTTACCATCACCAGATATTCAGAGAATTATTCAAAGCCCTTCACCTTTATTGCCTTCCCAATCGAGAGTTATCGTAACAGCTAAAGCAAGTGTTAGTGATGAGTCAGGTCGACCTTTAAATGCATCTCAACTTGTAACGCTTCCGACTGTTCCTTCTAGTTATGATGATTATAAAGAAGGAGATGAATCGTTTGATCCTTTTTACAGGGATGTACCAAAAATTCGTAACACTCGACGATCTTTTAGTGATTTAATTCATTATATAAATAAATTTAGAAGAAAAAGGTCAACACAGAATGAAGATGCGCTTGTAAGTAATGATGAAAATCTAAATATGGAGAAAAATAATGATGATACTTCATTTGAAACTACTCAAGTAGTTAATTCAACTGAATCTACAGTTGATTATACGAGTCAAGAAAATCAAAAAGAAGAATATGATGAACAAGAAATGAACAATGATAAGTTTTCCTCATTTGAAGAGAAAATTTCTGCTTCGTATGAGGAAAAAGTAGATGAGAAAAAAATTGAGGCTTCAACTAGTAGTCAGGAGTACAGTAATGACGATGATTACAATTATCAAGATGATTATTCTGATGAAATAATTTCAGAGTTTAATGATTTTAATACTACCGATAGTGAAGAATTAATTTACGATACAGAATCATCTTTAGCTAATAATGACTCTTCAACAACACAGTTTTCTACTGATGAAATTTCCAGTACAGAACCTTTTCAAACATCGATATCCACTCCTTCATCAGAAATAAAAGACCTTCAAATTGATGAACAGACTGAAGGAGTTTTGAAATTTACTGACGAAATTCCAAAATCTGAAGAGGAGATTGATGAAAGCCGTATAAATAATGATGATTCGTCAAAGTTACCAAATCCTCTCGATTATATTGACGATAATTATGAGCCTCAACACTATAATGAGAATACAAATCCTACGGAAAAAGAAGATGATGGTAAAATATTTGTAGAACTCATGATAACTGATGTAAATGAAACGACCACTACAATCGTACCAAGTACTTCTTTGACCGTAATTCCATCAACTACTATGGCAACAACAATGGATGAAACATCATTGCCAACATCAACGATAACAACAATGACTCCATCGATGACTACTATAACAAGTACGACTCCATCAACGACTACAATAAACACTACTCCATCAACAACTACAACAAGTACTACTTTATCAACAACAACTACAACAAGTATCACTCCATCAACAACAACTACAAGTACTGTTGCACCAACAACTACTACTGACATAACAATTACTATACCATCAACAACCGGCTCAACGATAGCACCATCCACAGTTACAACAGAAGCAACTTCAAAAATACCTTTTAGATCGAGTATTACAACAACTATATCCCCGCGACAGAAGACTCATTCTTTCAATTTATTCAAAACATTTACAACAAGAAAAAGTTATGTTTATATTCCACCAACAACAACTCCAACGCCTGTCATAGTAAAGAAACGATTACCACTTCTAAATCCTAAACCAGCAAAACCTCCAAAATCATATAATGACATAGCCCCCAAGCCTGTAATTAGAAAAGTTCCGCTCTCAGGAAGAAGAAGCTCATTAGCTACGATAAAAAATGATCCAGAAAGTATGGAGTATACAACAGTTCGAGCTAGTGATGTTCATCAACCTGATAATGAAGTGCTAGAAACTACTTCTTCTACAACTAACACTACAGCTAGATCAACAACTACTAGTACTACTACAACTACGACTTCTACTGCTGCTCCAGAAGCATCAACTATAAAAATTATAGATAATATTGAAAAGCATCAAGCTCTTCCGTCATCGGAAATGGTTGATTCAATGGTACATATGGATGATATGCCTCCAAAAAATATTGAAACTATTGATGATGATACCAAAATGACCGAAAGAAGTAATGATGAAAAATTACTAAATGACGAAGCATCAATAGATGGTATGTCCAGATCTACCGTACGACCTATTAAACATCTAAATGAACAAATAAAAGTCATCAGACGAGGCGCCTTTAGCTGTTTAGATGTAGAGTTGTATCGTTTTTATGCTGATAAGAGAGATTGTCGTTTATTTCACTACTGTTCACCAGGTTTTACAGCTAAACAAGTACTTGACTTTCGATTTGTGTGTGAAGAAGGAACCACCTTCGATGAAAAAACTCAAAGTTGTGTTCATCACAATTCAAATTCAGAATGTCACTCTAAGATCTGGTAATTAGAATATTCGTCAATATACGTTTAATTTCATGATAAATAAAAGAATATTGTGCTCTCTTGTATCCCTTCTCCAGATATGCTTCCTTGATTTTGGTAATTCGTGAATCCCAATAAACAATGATGTGTATATTTATATGTCGGTATGTAGTAAACGATTTTATAAAAGAAAAAAATATGTTATCCATTTGAAATTTGAAAAGATTCACATGTTTTGTATTATTTTAAGCGTTGTATGAATTTATTGCCATAATTCGGATTTAAATGTGCGTATGTGTACAAAGATGTGTGTTTATTTTTATAAGTGTGCGGATTCACACTTATTAAAATTAATGCTATTTGGAGAAAGGTAAATTATTTTTTTTTAATGCTAAGTAGTATAATATGATGATAGAAAGAATTTTAAGTATTAAGTTATTAACGTATATTTAAAAATTGTTAGAAAAAATATTCGAAATTAATAAAACTGATAGGAATGCGATTATTTTTGCTCAACATTTTCTAAATTTTTTTTTTAATCTACATGTATTAGGTTAGTTTGTGTAAATGAATTGATATTATCAATTTGAGCTTTAGCCTCTTTTTATTGCTCAATGGCTAGAATTGTTTATTTATAAGAAAAAATAAAATAATAAATTTATACGTGTTACTTTATTGAGTTAATTATTATTAATTATTTATATAAAATTAATTTTATTACCCTCATATAAGAGATAAAGATTACTGATTTATATAAATAATTCATCATAAATTGATTAGTCCTCTTTATGTACATAATATTTAAATAAAAAGACTTTATAAATTATATCAATTTAATGAAAAATAATAATAGATAACAAAAATTAACATTGTTATAATATTTTAAGATTTTTTAGTAACTAGTGATGAATAGTTTTTTTTTAGATATTATTTACTCATTGCATATAATGAATTATTGAAATGTATGATTACGAATTATTCCATACATGATTGTTTTATTTCTTGAAAAAGTTTTATTTTATTATTCAATTTTCTTTAATACATCGAAAAACAGGTTCCATATTCAGAAATAAAAAAAAAATAATAAAATCAAGATAAATTATTAAAAAACAGAATTTTTATTTTTTTATCAAAATTTATATTGTAAGAGTAATAAAATAAAGTTCTAGTGAAGTTCAAATTATGAATATATTTATTGAATTTAAATTCCCGCAAAATTCACTAGTCATAAACAGTGAGCGCCTCTAGTGAGTGATCTTTGAACTAACACTCCCCCCATTCATCAAACAAAAAAACCGTTACAAACATTCTTGAATGGCGTCATTCAGTTA